TCTTGTAGTTTAAAATTTCCATCTATTTTATCTAATTTAACTATTTTATCAAGTTGACTGATTTTCTTCTCAGGTTTGCATTGTTTTGGTTTGTTTTCAATTACAGTTCAGACACTTTGTATGAATATCCTTAATTTCCATTTTAAAGGAGCAGTTGAAGTATGTTGAAACAAGTTGTTCCATGATGCGCATGGAAACAACTTTGGTGTGTGCCTTCCCTGAAGTTGCAAGCCTTGCTCAGAGTCAGGGTGTGGCCAGATGTTGTTATTAGACTGGGAAAATGTGAATGGATGGTATTGAACCCTTTTTTTTTTTTTTTGTCCTTAGCATCTCTTTGGGGAAGGAGCAAGTCTGACTTTTACTCCTTACGAACCCCTGCAAGGTCATGACAGATTTGCTTTTTTCACTGCATAGACAGCACATAAATCTCACAGCTGTGGCACAGAAATCAATCTGTTAAGATAACTATTGCTAATTCTTCATCCTTCAGGAACAGGATGGCTTAAAATTCAAACCACAGAATACAGAGAAATAAAGAGCTTTTCACCTCCTGCATTACCAGACTTGTTGAATCGGAGCAGTGCCCAAAAGTCATTACCATCCAATGGCTATGGGCCAGTGTGGAATGAGTCACTGGGCTTTATCCAGATTCTAGTGGAGAAATTTCTGTCCAAATCACATAACTATGGCTACAATTGGCAGGGGCTGAAGTACTTATTGGCAGCCATGGTAGAGAGTTTGAGGACTGAATGTACACTGAGAGACTGGCCCTTCAGATCAGAATTTTTTTGCTGCATCTACATGAGCCAATGTTAAGCTTAAATAGGTGATTTTCCTTTTGTGTGTGAGGTACCACTGCCTGCAGACCTGTCAAACCAACAAATAACAACATTGTTTAAAACCAAGTGAGAATTCATCCTTATAGTTTCTTCATTGTCATTGTGGAGTGGGGATCTATGATGCCTCTCACACCTGTAAAAAATTACAGCAGAACTCCCTGAAATGCCATGAAAGGGTTTGCCTCATGACAAAGTATTTTGCTGGAAATCTTAGTGCTGATAGATGGAAGATTATATCCAAGAAGGTTTATTTGTTGACTCTGGAGGTTAGTAGAGGTTTAAATTAGACATTAACATTATCCTGGATGACCATGAGAATGACTTTCATTTTACTGCACTTTATTTTCATTGTTCTCCTTCTCCTTCTCCTTGTAGACGTTCCTTTCTGGAAAGGAAGGAGAAACACACTAACAAATGGAAAGAACAAAGCAGTAGCATGCTGCACACAGTCCCCATTCTCAGGTAGAGATTTGTAACAGAGGCCATCACATCACAGTTTTCAGTTGTCCCAGTCCTAGAGAGGAAAATATTTCTCAGGAGTAGCACTCCAAAGAGACATCAAAGCCCTGGCAGCTGACTTCCAATCCTTGTGGTGGATGGTGCTTTGTACATGCTGAAGTTTGGTGGAAAAAGAGTTAAGCTGAGAAACTCAGCTGAACTTGATGAATCTCTACCAGTCTGATGATCAGCTTCAGGTGCTCAACTGCTTTGATGAATTCCCTGATGCAGTCAGTAAGTTTCTCAGCAGACTAAAATAACCTAATTTTTGATGCCACTGTTTTTCTGCAGTTCTCCCAAGGGATGGGAAGCTGACTGTGAGCAGACTGCAACAGAATAGGCTACAGCAAAGAAGCAGCCAAGCTTAAATAGCCTGAAATCTCTTGCTTTCAGGGCTCTAGGAGAGATTTCAAAACCCAAAGGGCTTCTAAGCCCTAGACAGAGCCAGGTCTGCATGACCAACATGTGCTTGTTACAGAACAGCAGCAAATGCAGGATGAACAAGCTGTTCACCATCCCAAACTGTGGTTTTCACACCTGAAATCAGGAGGAACTTGTTGCCAAGCTGAAAAGTTCTCCCCACTTCTCTTGTGAGTTCCTTCCTGCACGTTTCCTTTTGGGGAAGGGACTGCTGGAAAACCTTTCTGAGCTGAAGTCAAGCAGACATAGAAGTCAAGAGACCTTGTTGAAACTCAGCTCTGAGTGGGAGGAGAAGAGTTCCTACATGCTCCATGGTTATCATTTTAGCTAGCAGCCAGGAAATGAAGGTGTGAAAAGAGCAAGAGAATAGAGTGAGGAGAGTTTTACATTTTAGAAGACAGAAAAGAGCTTGATTGAAAGTATCTTATTGCTCCCTATTTTAGTTTATTCAATCTATTATATTTGACACGAACTGCTATGATTTTGCAGTAGTTTTGACTCTGGGCATTAGATGGAAACAAAATACTAGGCTGGACTGCTAATCTCAACTCTTGGAAGGTGTAAATTTAAATGCCAGCCTATCTGTCCTAAATTTTCCCAAAACCAAACTTCATCTCTAAATAGCCACCTGCCATGCTTTGCTGGTACTTCAGATTTTTGATTCCAATTCAGCAGCTTCTGCCTGTCTTATTAGATCGGGGAGTGCAGCCAGGTCTAGGGGTAGAAGCTGTTATTTATGGCAAGTTTTGCAGAAGCTGTTCATGCTCACATCACTGGTGAGTGATGGCCACAGATTGTGCTGAGGTATGACTTCTTTTATGGTTGTTGGGAAAGTGAATGATCTGTGGTTGTATATATTATGAGGATGGCATTTAGCTGCCTAAATTTAACATGTTCAGGCACCATCAAATGTGTAATTAAACCTTTCCCCCTTTTTTGTGCTAGGTGTAAGAAGCTTTTGTCATTACACTCCTTGTTGGAGAAAGATCCCTGCTAAAACTTCAGGAAGCTCATAGAAAGAGCTGTGGAAATGATGCTCAGAGTAAACTATTACACTGGTGAGCTAGAAGTTCACTTGGTTGCCTCATGAGCTTGAAGTCTGAAAATCCTTGACAGGAATATTAATAGTTGAACATTCCCCATCCAATGGCAACAAAGTAATACTGACAAAAATGGCTGTTTGAAAAAGAATTTCGGTAATCCCTAATCCTGTGACCCAGGGAGCAAATATCTGTTGATACTAATTCATTATGCACAGGCTGCCTAATCATCTTAGGAGAAACAAACAGTGCATTGTTTTCCCCTTAATTTAAGCATCTACTTCACCTTAAGGTGCAGCTGTGAGTACACAACAACACATACACACAGTGCATCTTGAGTGAACTCATGCATTTAGCTCTGATTTTGCCAAATGTTAGTGAAAACACTATGGGACTGACAGCCAGTTGTGTCATGAATCTAGTTTATGTCTTAATGCTGGGCACAAGGGTTATGAGCCCATGGTTTGTATATTTTTTGTAACTGGTTGTCTGGTTTGACTTTAGAAAGAGGTGAGCTGATGAAGAAGCCAGTTGGTTTCAGTGGCATACAGAGGTACTGAGCAAAGGCCAAGCTGTATGAGTTTTGTGTTTCATAGGAGCATTAGTCTGGCACGGTGAATGATTCTTTTTCATGTGTGCCACGCTAATATTATTGATATACCTCTTGTGCAAGGAGTGTGCAAGGAGTGGAAGGGCTATGGTGTTAAAAAGGCTAGCACTTCTCTAAATGCAGTGTTCTTCTGTGCAAAGCCCCACTTCTCCCAGAGCTAACAGGTTGCAGCTTTTTCCTGACTTTACTGGGGATAGGCTGCATTGTCTCAAGTTACACTGCAGAAAACAAAAGCCTGTCTGCCAGTTGTTGCTCCCAGTGCCTGTCCTGTGCTACCAGAGCTGGCACAGGAGAGGAGGGATATGCAGCTGGAGGCATGGTGTGCCCTGGCTGGTCTCATGATCCCAGGAGCCCAGACTGGGTTTTTTCAGTCCTCCTAAGGTCAAGGACTGGTAGAACAGCCCCATGCTTCCTCCAGCCTTACCCTGCTTCAGAGTCCTTCAGCCTCACTGTCATCACCTCAGTTGTTGATTGCAATCCAAGCCCTGAAGTGTAGCTGCTTGTCCCCATCCCCTCTGCCTGTTTGCCCACCCTATCTCTCTGTAGGGACGTAAAAAAAGATATATTTTTTTTTATCAGCTCCACAGTAAATCAGTCCTAATGATGGAGATTTGGAAAAATTTTAGAGTAAAGAGCAATCAAAATAATTGTAATACCAGTTGTTTATAAAGACTTAACATTAAATCAAGCACTTCAAGCTAGCTCTTCAGCTACTCTGTTGGAGACTGCTGTTTGTAAGTAACCTTGGTAAGATTTCTTACAGGCAACCAAAAGGAGACTGAGGAACTGCCAGTTGAAGCTTTTCATGCTAATCTCATTTTTGTCTTTGAGGCTTAAAATTTTCACAAGGACTGAAAGTTGATATTTATGAGTAGAGCTGGGCGAAGGAGGGTGTTTAAACATCTCCTAGCCTATCACCAGCATCTCCAGCTGTACTCCACCACCTCCATGGAGATTCAGTACTCTGATATTTTTAGAAATAATCACCTCCATATATTTCAGCATTGTTAATCCAAAACCACATTCTTCTCTTTTACTTTGTTTATAGACTTTTCTTTTACAGAAGTGAGCTCTTTCCCTTGTTTTCCAAGCAGGGCTTTTGCAATTCAGTGACAGAACGTGCTGTTGAATTTGAAAGAACATCACTTTCTGTCAAGAGTTTGTTAAATTGTATACTCATGTTCTGTTCTGCCTGGAGTACCATAAATCCCACTGATTTTTATGGGGTTCAGTGAATATACATCTGTGCTGAACTCTGTAGAGATAAAGAAAACTCAAAGGTGTAAGCAAGGATTTGACCTGTGTAATGCAACAGAAGAAAAGCTGTACTGTGCAATATATAATAATAAAAGCACAATATATCTCTTGGCAGTGGCAGAGCTCTAACATCAGTACCTTTGATCTAGTACCCCCGAGGTCCAATAAGCCTCAACCATGGTCACCATGTCAAACTACAGAAAAACACTCTGTAGTGAACCCTCATCTCAAATAACTCTCTTAAGTTTTCATAGGTAGAAGTAGTTTAAAGCCTTCATTTCAGGTCTTGCAATACAGCCTAGAACTGTTTCTTTTTCTTCCTCTCTTACAGCCAGTTTTCTAGACAAGATGGCCTTGCGCAGTTCTGGCAAGCTGAGCATGGAGAGCAGAAAAGATGGTGAGAGCACGGCCCCTGCTCCTCCCCAGAAGAAGCTGTCCTGCCAGTGCCACCACCACTGCCCTGAGGACTCGGTCAACAATACCTGCAGGTTTGTGGCATAGATGTCTGCTGATGATACATGGCAAAACAAACTCATGGCAGCTCAGTAATCCCAAGTTGGGTGTTGCAGTTTTTGTTTAAGCAGCAATATGTAAATGAGTTGGTTTTCACTGTCTGTCTAAAAATCAGAAGTAATTTTTACCTAGAGATCAGCTGCATGGTTGTTGGTTTTTGTTTTGTTTTGCTTTGTTTTGTTAGGGCATACACATATTTATCATTTTAGACAATACTTGTTTTAATGAATTGCATATGGAATATTCTGAAGACTGAACTTTGTTTTTAAAAGAGCGTGCAGTTAATGAGAGGAGACCTAATGGAGATATATTGAAATGTCAATAAATGCTTATAAATTTATAATCACTCTCAATAGAATACTATTTATAAGAACCCTGGTCTTTGTTTGTGTCTACAGCAGCTGTATCTGTAAGTCCTTAAGGCTTTGGGTTTGGTTTCTTGCGTTGTTTTTTTTTTTTTTGTTTCTATGCTAAAAGGAGAACCATCTTTAGGTGACATGTTGAGTATTTTTGTCTATGAGCTGTAGCCTTCTGTTTCATTTTGGGCTTAGAGCAGTACAGATTTCTCATCTGGGTTGGATTCTGCTTCCTCAGGACCTTTTGGCTCCCTGGGGGAGAGGCGGGTCCAGATATGCACAATTGTCCTTGAAGGCTCAGCACTGGTCTGTGTTGCCCTGGCACTGGCTAAAGCAAGCAGAGGTGACTGAGGGTACCTGTGGGGGGACCAAGCTGCTGTTCCCCTACTCAAAAGCAGCTCTTGCTGGACACATAAAATTGCTGTTGAGTGAGGGTTGAATGAACCTCTGTCTTGGCTTGAGGTGCAGATACAGTTTGCTTTAGCTGCAGCAAAGCTGGGCTGAGCTCTTCATGTTCCATATGAGGGATTTAAACTTCTCTGCTTGGCTAGAAGCAGTTGTGATACTGGAGTTACCAACTCAGCCTGGTGGAGCTGTGGGAGTCAGAGAGGCATAGAAGCAGGGCACAGATGTGAGCCCAGCTGGAGATGCAGTGCTCTTTGAGGTGAAATTGTCTATGTTGTGTCAGCTCTTCAAGGCAGTGTGTTTAAAAGATAAATGGGGAAAGCCTAAGGTTCCTGAAGGTACTGATTGCTTTGTTGGATTTTAGAGTGTGGGTTTGCAGCTTGACTTTATTCTTCTCAGCCTGCAGCTTCCTACTAAAACATATCAAAGTTTTGGTGACAGCTGTAAATACCATTCCCCATTTCTAACCTCTTCCTACAAGCCCATGTTCCAGCCAGGAGTTAGACCTAACTGCTCTTACATGACAGTCAGTTTAAAAAGCTGTAAAACCCCACTCTGATACCAATTTGCTGATCCCCTGCAGCGTCGATCAGCTGTTTCCTGTTCCTGCCCAGCAAGAGCCACAGCTTTCCTATGTGCTGTCTCACACATGCAGCAACAGGGAATTTGCAGATGACTTTTAAATCCTTGAATTAGGAAGCACAGAGGGATCAATGTTAAGGAACTGACTGAACAAGGTTTATCCCCCAGCTGGGTAAGCCTGCTTTTGCACGTTGCTTTGTAGGCATCATTGGCATTAAGTATTTTTTATGGAATTATGAGTGAATGTCCTGTTAGAATGGATTTGTGCATTTTCCCTCACTGCAGTACTTGAAAGAAACTCTCTTCAGTCTCCTTTATGGTGTCAAATGTCAAACTTTTTTTTTAGGTGTTAATGCCCAAGGATAGGCAGTTAAGTGGTAATAAAACACAAAATTGTAATCCCTTTTGTCTTTCATAATCCTTGAGGACTTCAGACTTGAATGTTCTGCTTTATTGCCAGAATGATTTTTTCCAATTTGGACATCAAAATACTAATTGAAGCTGGAATTTATACATCAAATATTTATCACTTTTCTGTCCAGTCAGGAGTTTCCTGGCACAGTCAGGAGACTTGCTTTAGATCAATTCCTCTCGTGCCCTGTGCTGTCATCTAAGCAGTACCCACCTTGCCACTTGCCCAGTGAGCAACAGCATAAGTGAAAAATTGCTGAGGAGTTTGGAGTAATACAAAACAAATTAAATTAATTTAAATGCAATGCCTTCATGACTCGTCAGCAACAATCATGCTCATGATAGTGATCATTGCTAGGGCTCCCAGTGCCTTGGTGTGAGAGCTGCAGTGAGGTGTGAAGGACTCAACACCCCTTGTTTTCCCTGCATTTATTTAACTTTTAATGTAGTAATTCCTTTTTTAAATTCTCTACTACATAGCTGTAATTGTGAATTGTAGAGAAAAGAAGATCCTGAGCCTTCTCTTGGGAAAGAGGGGTTATTAGGTGTCTGGTTAGCTGGTTATTAGGTATATGCTTTTTTGCTGGATAGAGACAAAATTTCAAAAGATTTGAGCACAACCAACCAGGTTAGCAGAGATTATAAATTTCCCCTGAGTTTTGGAATCATCCTACTAGTCAGGCAGTAACTTTTGTATTTTATCCTGTGTGAATGACTGTTGGCACAATTTTAAAGCACTCGGGGAATCACTGAGCATCACTATAAAGGAAATTTCCCCATTTGGAAGTTCAAGAAGTATCAATTGCAGTGTTTGTCTGAAGAATAAATTTAATGCTTCAGATTAAAAGTTATTGCAATAATTATCTGCTTGCCACAGATATAGCCACTAAAAGCATTTTATATTTTTTAAGAAAAATTTAAAAATCAAACCTCTTGTCAGCTCTATCAATCTGTTAAGCTTTGGGCTGTGCTTGGACCTTCAGAGTTTGGACCTGCCAGCCCAACAGGAATGAGCCAGTGTGTTCTGGGGCACCCAAGGGCCTGGCAAAGTTTTGACATCCTGGAAATTCACTGAGTACATCCACAGCCAGGGTTTGGGCTCTGGAGAGCGTCAGCCACTGTCCTTACCAGGGTTCTTACTAAAGCAGTGAAGCATTTTATGAGCCCAGTAGCAAGAACCTCTGAAAGTTCAATGCAAAAGCATTTCCAGCTGTGTTTAAATTAAAACTCTCAGAATAGAATGGTTATTCTTATTGCAATCACCATTAAAATTTTCTCCTAAAAAACAGTCTCTCATCTCACATGAAGATTTCTATCTGCTACCACAGGTAGCTTTTAAGTGTATATGCAGCCCATAGTACCAGGGGTCTGAATGTTTATATAAAAATGAGGACATCTGGTGGCCATTTAAAATCTTCTCCATAATTGTATTTGTAGAAATTTAAAAGCCAATATTCTTTAACCACATCTATATCAAATCCTCCCAATAGCCTGCTGTGTTCCTATACAGAATTTCCTTTTCTTTATAGTTCTGCAGTTTAAGTCCAACAGTACTTTGGAGAGCTAAGGATAACACTGCAGCTTTAAAAGCAGAATGCTTTTCTCTCTAAGCAGAAAAGCCATAGCTCCAGTTAGAATTTGCATTAAAAAATGGGGCAGTCCCTGAGCACAGTGAAGTTCTGAAAGACCCATTGCAGGATGAGCTCATTGAGGGAGGGTTAATGCCAAAGTGTAGCAAAAGGGGACCAAGGCAGGAGCTGACGCTGATATCCTCACTCACCAGGACCCCATTTCCCCATGGATATGTGAGCACAATGGGCAGAAATAGCTCCTTCAATAGCCCAGCCCTTCCCATGGTGGAGACAGGCACTCCTGTACCTCTGCCCAGGGGTTCTGGGTAGGGGGAAAGAGGAGTCATGAGTGGGGCCAGTGTGGGCAGTTGAAAAATATTGGTGCACTCAAGGCCCTGACAGATGAAACCTTTGGAGAAGGCTCACAATCCTCTGCTTGCAAAGGGTGTGTTAAACTGCTGCATGCTAAAACTTTATTCTTCTTTCTGAACATCTGTGCAATTCATAAAAGGCTTTCAGTAAAGAAGGTCAAAGCTGCTTTGAATATAACCAGGACCTTGTTTTGCTGTTCCATTTCAAGTTTTCTGTGTTCAGAGTGAATGCACGGACAGTTGTGTCTGATCATAATTAATTGCATATTTTAAAGCACGATGTTACGATTAATTGGCTTTGACTGTAATGGGATTGCAGTAAAGGCAGAGGCTAATTAGGTGCCTTGTCACACTCTGTTTTCATGCACAAATAAATGCTGACAGTTTTAAAGATGGGGCTGATAAAGTTTAACTTCCTATGTGTTGCCTACTAGATTGTATTTCTGCCTGACTGTGTCTTTGGTTATCTAAAGCAATAAAATAATTAAGTTGGTTTTTCAGTGTTACCAAAGGTGATAACTCACTTGAGTGATGTTATTTTCATGGTCCTGTTCTGCAGGTGATATGCTTGAATTTTCATTGTAATTTGGTATGTGGAAAAAAAAAAAGACTGACAGTGGCCAAAGCACCGAGTTCAGACAACCTTTAAAGTTTCAATCAACTTTAATTTGTTTGGAAAAGTTGAACGTTTTCTGATAAAGGAGCTGTGGTGAGATCTTAATATTAGTCTTCCAATTTTTTAATGTTTATGTTTATTTTGAAATTTCCTACTTTATACAGGAATTTTTTTAATCACTTTAAAAAGAGTGCAAAGACTTGTTATGTTGGTTTGGATGAAAGTGAAAAAATGCTCTTGCTCTTTCTGGTATCAAATGAGGAATATAAAGAGGATGAGTGGAGAAAAGTAATAATACTTGTATGGAATCGTTTGAAATCAAATTAAAGATAAGGGATCTTTTCATCAAATTATGAAAGTTACCTGTCTCTTTGTGATAGGCATTGAATGAGGGAAAGATGTTGCTTTTCAGAGTTATGTATTGCCATCCCTGGCTGTGTCACACACTCATAGAACCGGGTGGGAAATCTCCAGCAGGCAGGTTTTGGAAGCTGAGGAATCACATCTTCTGTGAGAAATGGCTGCTGGCCAGTGGGGACATCTGTGTGAGCAGATGCAAAGCTGTTGGCCTTGGTTCCTCTCTTGTGACATTTAGGAAAGGTCTGAGTTAAGATCCCTGCTTTCTTTGTGGTAATCTGTAATTGTAGCAGCAACTTCTATATCAGTGTCTGTCCATGTTTCACTATTAACTCCCTTTATTCTCCTGGCATTTGACTTGGCTGTAAGAATTCCCTCTTGGCAAATATATGACACAGCAAATCTGTGCTTATTAGTGATCACCTCCAAAGTGAATTGAATCACTCCCCTGCACCATACTCTAATAATGGTGTTTCAGTGGAGGAGGTTGGTGGATGTGTACCCAGATGTATCCAGTTGTATCCACACACACTGAATTCCTTCTTTACACAGCATTTGCAGATTCAAATTACACAAAATTAGAATTCACATTGCAGATTTTAAGAAAATAGCAGTTCTACACTATGGGATTTTTTTTTTCTAGGAAGTGGAGAATAGGTTTTTCATACTGCTTTGCAAGTGTCAGTGATGTGAAGATGCTTCTTTCTCTGTAGTCACCAAAATAAGTATAAAATTTGAGACTATGCACACATCTCTGACTTGGTTCTTACTGGCTGTATTAGTAAGTTTCATTTCTACCCAGTCAGGTGTGAGGTGAGGAAATCAATAAAACAGCAGAGGTGTGCCCTGCCCTTTTTCTTGCAGTGTGTGGTCCATTTGACATCCTGTGAACCAGGAGAACAGGTTGGGGTGAGGGGGGAAGCAGGTAGGAGATCCTTTTTTCTTTTCAGAAGGGTCCCTTCTCCCTCTCACCCAAGCACCTCAGAAATTCTCAAAAAGATAATGAGTTCTTACATTGCATGAAAACTTTTTGTTGTTAGTATTTTTTGGTTTGGTTTTTTTTTTTTCTTACAGGTAGAAACAAGCAGTAGCAGTGTTTATTCTCCTCATCGATGTTATTTTTTTCTCTCACTTCTCCTTCATTACCCTAACATCTGTAAAGAGCATGGTTTAGACTTATTGTTGGAGCTTTAAAACTTCTTTGCTTTGCTCTACTCAATCTAAGGTTTTCTTTTTAAATTTGGAGTAACATTTTTAGAGGGACTGAAGCGCATGAGGAGCTTGACTTCAATTTTCATAAGTGAGCGAAGAATCAGAGTCCCTTAGCACAAGTCAGAAAAATAGAATTGAAATGGCTGACTTTCTGTTTCTTTTTCTCCCTTTTGCAAACAATTTGACTTTTCCTTCCCCTGCTTTTCTTTGATGAACCAAGAGTTTTGAGTTTTTTGCTGTTAGCTGTAGAGTCCATTTTTGTGTTTCACTTGATAGCAATTTATTGTTTTGTTGCTCTGTCCCCTGGGTTAAACTTACTCATTATTTTGAATCAAAGGCTCCATGCAAACAAATAAAATCTAATCTAATATAATATTCCTCTCTAATGGATTCCTTACAGTCTCTCTTGGCAATCCTATTGTTCCTATCTTTTCAGCTCAAGCAATGACATCAAGGTGGCTGTTGCCCAGAAGGGTTGCTGTCTCCTTTGCCTCACTCCTATGTACAATGTAAAGAAGGGTAGAAGTCATTGCTGGCTTCCCTGAGAAAGTAATTTGTAATGTGCAATTGGTTACTTTTCAGATACAGAAGTCATGATATATTATTATTTGAAGTAATAAGCTTACCATGGCTAGACCCTGCCCCACTAATATAAAAATATGCCACAGAAAATGTTTGACGTGATCCCCTGCAGCATCTCTTGGTTGTGTAGCTAATACTTACAAATTGTGTTTGTCTCTTAAATGTGTAACTGTGGCTCTTGTTTCCTACATCTTCATTGCCTTTGCTGCTGGTGCTCTTTAGACTCTTGTTTCATTCAAGTAAGGAGCAAATCATCTGAAATTTTGCTGTATTTAAGTTTTCTAATCTTTTTTTCTTTTTATTTCCTTGTTTTAACTGAGTTTGTTTCTTCTCTTCTGAAAAATACTCATTGCACATAATAGCCAGTGCTATTTTCCTGAGCAAATAACAGAATATTTTATTTTTCTGTGACTTAAATGTCTTATATTAAAGAGTTTTTTCTTTATTTTTGGATCTTCTTCCTGCAAGTCCATCAGTTTTTGTTTCTTAGCGTTACGTATCCCCATCAGAGTGCTGAGAACTTAAGGTACAGCAGTCTCAATAAAATGCAGCCACCCTTTCCATGCCCTCCACTCCCTCTTTCCATAGCATTCAGGCATTTGACCTTCATCAAGGAAGGACATTTATCACCAGCCCCATCGAGCCATCTGTTAGTGTACTTGCCCTCCCTGGTGCACCTTCCTGTAAACGGAAGCATTATGGATCACTTCAGGCTTATAACCCAAGTAAACATCTGTGAAGGGTGTTGATGATAACTCAAGGACTCATACACAGGAGTGTTGCAGTTCATAATATGGTTAAAACAGGAATCACAAATCACTCTTGGTAATATTTTATGTTTATCATCTCAGAAGTGTTTGCTTCTTCAGGTCTGTACCGTGGTGCAAGCGTCAGTGCCTTGTTCCTGCACTCAGGGCAGAGGCTGTGCAGCACTGAAGCTTGCACTGTACAGGTTTCCAAAGTCTAACACACTAATGACCACAAGCAGAGAGCTGGGGTGCTTGTTAGTGGGCTTTAGGTGTGAAATATTGCAAAGGTAAGTGCACAGCCCTGAGGCAGAGCCTCCTTGTGCGTGCAGGAGCTGCTCCGCAGCAGCCCTGGTGTGTCCATTTGTGAATGGCAGATTTTCCTGGCAAGGAGCAAAGTTTAAGACAATATTCAATAGCACATTTTCCACTTTTCACATTTCAGTGCCTTTTCCTGATTCATTCTTTCCAATCCACAGCACTGATGGCTACTGCTTCACCATAATAGAAGAGGATGAGTCCGGTGGACATTTGGTCACCAAGGGATGTCTTGGATTAGAGGGCTCAGACTTCCAGTGTCGGGTGAGGAAGCATTTTCTGCCACACTGTCGCTTGAATTTTTGATAGTTTTCAATTAAAGTGCAGTCAACAGACATTGCTGTATCCCCCTGTTTTTACACTTCTGTTCCTTTGGCAGATAGCTGATTTGCATTGATTACTGAGGGGAGTGCATTTGTATCCACAAAAGATGATACTATAGATCCTCCTAATAATAACTCATCATGTTTTTGGTTTTGTCACTGCTGCTACTAGTAACGTTCCCATTCAGAGGAAGTTTGGATTTAGAGAATTGCAGTCTGAACTCCTCAAATCTCCATGCTAGCTAAAGTTAGTTAGGATATTATTTGATGAACTGCAGCAACATCTATGTCTTAGATGCAGCTGCACATTGGTTTGGGATTTTTGGTGCCAGATATCCCTTCAAGTACAGTGATCACCTGATGGAAAACAAGTATCACTGCAAGAATGGAAGGGGTGTGGAAAATGGAGCAAGGTGGTTCTAAGGTGGTTGCCTTGCCTCACATTAACCTTAAATGGTTTTAGATGAGTACAGGAATGGTTTCATCATTATAGCTAATGGGAGATATTTTATCCAGCTTCCCACAAGACCAGAAGCTGCAGCTAAATTAGTCCATGCAGCAATTCCTGTATTATCCTGGCTAACCTGTCTTGGATACCCATATTAACTAATTTTTGGTCTAACTGATGGATGTATGTGACTTTCACACTTCTGACTTGCACCATTGGAGAAAGTCAGTCCCTTCTGCAGCATTAAGGCACTGACAGGAGTAATTTTGGAGTGAATTAATGTCTTAATTACCTGGATGAAATATTGCTGGATACACTGGTTGGCAGAAATCTTTACTCCACACATCCTAGGAATTTGAAGTAGATTGCAGTCCAGCTAGCAAGCACATCTTTCAAGTGCCAGAATGACCGTGTATATTTACAACACAGGTAATGACTTGCTTTCCATCTAAATTGCTTGTTGCAGGACACTCCTATTCCACACCAAAGAAGATCTATTGAATGTTGCACAGGCCAAGATTACTGTAACAGACACCTTCACCCTACACTGCCACCACTGAAGAATCGAGGTAAGGGAACAAAATCCGGTCCTGAGCTGATCTTTTCCTGCTGTTGGTCCTTGTGCCTTAGGGAAAAAATAGAGCACAGACTGAAGCACCCCTATCCACAAAGCATGTGATTAGAGAGATAAGTGGCATTAAACAGTATTTCTCCACTCCTGTAGGTTGTGTGTGGAGTGGTGCTGATACTTGCTGTAGTTTCCACTGCACACATGCAGTGAACACGAGATGCATTAGAGTTGCACGATGCTGTCCTAGCATGCACCTGCTGAGCTGTCAGAGATCATCTCAAGGACCTAGGCTGGTCGAGGCAGAGGATGACTCTTGCTGTGTATTTCTTTAGCCTGATAATAAAATGGAATCCTCTCTCCAGTCCCTGTAACATACATTGCTTTCATTCATAACTCCACACACAAATTGGTCAGTTCGAGTTGATACAAGTCTGTAAGTTTTTCTTATTTGCAAGACCTGATCATCCAGCACTGAGACAATAATGACTCACTAAAGTGTATTTATTATGTGAACAATGTAGCTGAAAAAAAAATGTAGAGTAAGAACTCACACAAGTTTTTAAAAAAAAATTATTTGAGAGCAAATGGGCATGTATTAACTTAGTAGATGCTGAGGCAAGGTTTTAGCACTTTTTTTTGTTTAAACATCACTTTCGGAAAGCTGGTAAAACTATTTTTGTCTTCTATAAATTTTATACAAGTGTATTCCTAAGTAAGTGTAAATTCATCCATAATAAACTCTTGGCATCAGCAGGAATTGTGGTAGTCAGCATCAAGTCAGTTCAGGCTTGCAGAAGAATTTATAATTGTGGTGTTCTGTGTTGAAGATCCAGATCGGGGCACAGATGCACTCTTAATTTCACCAACAGCAGATACTTGCACGAATGCATGCTCAGAGAAAGCCTTCACTCATGTGAGCTGTTCCCTTCAGGCCTGTGAAATTCTGCACAGATGGGCTGCAGAGTCAGGCCTTTGGAGAGTAGTATGTAAATACTTCACTGTTTACTAGCAAGGCATTAAGGCAGCGAAACCTCATAAAATTCTGACTTTCAGCAGAAGAGTTATGTACTACTTTGTTGGTTTATTTAATTTTAAAAAGTTCTTTGGATTGAGAGAAGAGCTCCAAAAAGCAGTCAGTATTTGTTGACACTTACTTAGGCTTGCATTAAATATCAGTTTGGAAAACACTGCCATGATTTCTTCTTGCTACTGGCTGAGTTTATTCTACATTAGGACTACTCAAAAATACTGAATCAGAGCCTAATGCTAGACATCCATCCATTAAGATTTTAGTTACTTGGCAATGCTATCTGCTACTTACAAAGAAAGCAATGAACCAAGCTTTTGGTAGTGGCAGAAGGTGTTTGGATTGATGTTGGGCTTGTCCTGTGTCTATATAGGGTAAATAAAGTACCACTTGAGAACCATGGTGGCAGAGTGAATATTTTTTAAAAGAAAAATTTCAGTGAGCTGGAGCAGGGTTCTAGCTGTTCTGTGTTGCAAAGCTGACTATTTTAATATGGCAGACAAAAGGTGATGTGGTCACTCAACACACTCAAAAGATTTTTATTTTTTAAAATAAGATCTCACACTACCAGCATCCTGAGAGTGTTTTGCAGAAATGCATTTCAGGAACTGCTTGAATAAATGTGGCTGAACAGGGCTGAAGTCACCACCTTTATTAAAGCCTTAGGTTAATATGTCATTCTCAGTGGTGCCAGGCCTGTTTTAATTTGTTGCTGATGTATCCTAGTATGAAATGTCAGAATAAAAAGCCATAGTTTGAACCACAAACCCTCACTGCAAATAGGTACAAATACTGTGTACAAATACATGTTACTGCCAGTGCCCAGTACTGTGGCTGGGATCATTGTTTCTATTGGAAGCATTTAGATTAGGCTGTGATTGTCTGAGTAATGTTAGAATTGTATATCAATTTTAACAAGAGTTGTAAGTACAGAGAAAGAGAGGTGAAGTTAAAAACAAGCTTCTTGGAATAACCTTCTGGCCTTCAGGGTTCCATCAAAGATACACATGCTCCACAGCATCTAAAAAACAAACAGAAATTTGGCTTCTGATGAACTCACATCTGAGGTGATACCTCATGGGAAGCAAAGTCTAGGGAGAGCATGCAGCTGCAGGTCAGAGGCTGTTGAACTCAAAACTGACCTATGCACCAAGGTAACAGCTACAAAGGCAAGTGACTTGTGCTCTCTAAGTGCTTTTCCAGGCCTGGCATGTGCTGCAAGGCAAGATTTATGCCACACCCTATCCTTCTCTCCCCCCTGGAAAGAAAGGAGGACCACATACATGAAAGTGAGAGCTAGAAAAATTAACACCGGTCAAAGCAAGACTTTTTAACTAAGATGGAAGAAACAACAGCTAAGCCTAAGTTTTGAGCTCATCTTGGTACAGAACTAGCAGGATAAAGTATCCCAGAGAAACCATTAAACCCTTGTGCCAGCTATACATCTGTCTTATTAAGGAAATGAAAGTCATAATTGGGTCTGATATAACACCTCTGCTTTAAACAATAAAAGATATTCCTGGAAATCCCAGCAAAAGCACAGGCTGAGACCAGTCAAAAGGAGAAATATGTCTTTACTGATTTAGAGCCTATATAAGCAGAAGTGGTGGTGCCACCGTGTCTGGCTCCCTGCCTGTATAGCCAGTGATGAATGGGCAAGGGAATGATTGGAGGAATGATGGGGTTTGATGTGTGCACACAGTCTCCACGCCTCGGATTTCACTGCCATTTTTACTTGGATAGCTGTAACATTCTGAGCTGGAGGGACCTGGGTGGGAAGAGAACCTCCTCTCCCTTTGATATGCTGACTTCTGAACCTTCTGGGTGGCATTTTCAATGCACTCCTCAGCATGGCCCCGCTGATGACAGCGAGTGAAACGAGTGGTGGAGGAGGGGGAAGTTGCAGGAGAAAAACAGAGAGGCAGCTTGGTCTCACCGAGCTCCCTGCTGTCACCAGCCTGCACCACTGTTTTCCTACAATATGGAGCTGTTAATGTGCTGTTTGCTGGGCTGCACTCTTATCAGCCAGCCAGGGTATGTGAAGAAGCTTCCCAAACGTGCCGTGTGTTTGTTTTGCACTTCCCACAACCTGCTCCTGGTAATCGCTCACTGCTGCCTCCGTGGAAGCTGCTGCTCATTCTCATAGCCCTGCTGCTTGGCCCCTTGCAGTTCCAAGTGACACAGCAGTAAAAAACACAGCACTGGACTTCTTAAAGGACAGAGTACCTCCATCACATAAACTGGCACTGACCAGGACCCACCACAGTGTTCACCAGAGAGCCCACAAGCAAGTCCCTAGGCAGACTCACAGCTGAGCTGCCCTGTCCCTCCTCCTGATCATAGTGCAGGGAAAGGGAGGTTTGTCCTGCTGCCCTGTGGGGAACAGCCTGGGCTGGAGGAGCAGGAGAAGAAATCCAGCCTGGCTCAGTGCAGCAGAACAAACAGACATTGCTGGTGTGAGGATGGGGGCTTGCATTTAATCTTGTGTTGTCCACACACACACCAGCAGGTTTATGAAGTCCTCCAGTTAGGCAGCAAATGAAATCCTGCCCAAATGCTTTAAAAACACAGGAAGTGTTTGAAAGGTGGAACAGCAGCTCACTTGCCACCAGTATTGCCTCTCAAATAGCCAAATAAATAGAAAGGCATATGGAACTTTCTGTCCCCTCCTGTGAGAGCCAGTTGCAAGCTGTGCACAGTGAACCACTGCTAAAGCTGTGCCACTGGTGGCATGCAGACACCACCCACCACAAGAGGGTCAGCTCTGCATCTGGTCAAAGTCTTGTTTCCTGCTCCCAGCAAGGAGATCAGGACATGTTCCTTTGTGTCTTTCATGCTTTCCTGACACTTGCTTCACATAATTGCATTGGGGTACCCAAAGAATTTTGTAGTGTTGGAGCCTGAAGTTCATCTGAGAGCTGCACAGCACTTCCAAAATGCCTTCTGGCCTCTGGGAAAAGTAACCTGCATTTACTTACTATTCTGAGTGGCAGAAGCCCATTAGAAACATTGAGCATAAGGTTTGGATCACTTAAACCCTAAAAATTGTGGGAATTTGATTCAAGATTGCAGCATGTTTGTCATTCCTCTCCAAATGAACATTCTCGTACAGGCCCAGACAGCGTGAACAACTTCACAGGCAATACGTGTCTGCAAAAATGCACAGATTTCCATGGCCTTAACATCTAGCAGGCACAAGTCTAAGATCTTAATTTTTCCCTCTGTGAAAGCTGACATCAGCTTGCATTACTGCTAAGCACAGAAGCTCAGCTTCCATCCTGTCATACTCTGTGAAGTGGGAGAACTCTTGCTGTGGGTGGTTATCCGGGTTTCTCCCACGTATGGAATGCCGCTTTATGGTCTCTGTGCTCTGCTTATTCATCTGATGGGCTGTGACATCTGAAACTGTTACAACCCACACGTTTTAGAGGGAAGTGGTGCTGACACAGGCTGCTCACACAGCACAAACCAGAGCCCTCAGCCCTGCTGAGCTGCCATTGCCTTCACGAGAGCTCTGGGTTCCCTGGCGGGCTCTCGGTTTCGACCCACAGCCCACTTGGAGTGGCAGGCCAGGAATAAATCTGCTGTGGCAGGCAGAAGGATGGGCTCAAGGGTTTTCCTGATAGACATCGTGTCAGTGTCCCCTTTCAAAGGCATCAGCCATTTCCTGAATGTTTACATTGTCAGGGCTCCCAGAGCAGGCAATGGCAGGTTAAAACATGACCAGTGTGATCAGGAGGTGTGTTGGTAGGTAATCTCTGTTTGTAGTGGAAAGGGGAAGGAAAGAAATTGTTTGGGAGCAAAAGAAAAAAAGAAAGAAGGAGAAACTGGATCTTGAAAATAAAAGAGTCTGAGAGTAAACTAAGAGTCCCTTAGGAATCTCCTGGTCTCATTACCCTTGTAAATCTGAAACGTAATAACGTCGTTCCAGGACCAGTCAATAAGGATGGATTTCTTGCATTCTCTGATGTGTCAGGCTTTGGAGTGAAGGATGCAAGACAGCAAGGCTGGAAGAGCTTCAGAAAACATGGCCCTCATTTGCATTATCCCATTTGTTATTGGAAATGTGGGTTGTGTACGTACAGGCTGAAATACTATAATTTTGAGAGTTTGAGTGGCAGGGGAGGTTAAAAAAGAATAGAGCTGGATGTCTTTGTTTTTCAGCAGAGACGCATGCATGAAGGTCAGACTCGCTTGCCTGAGCTGAGAATTCAAATTTGGAGATTAATGTTATACTTTAAAGGAGGATACAAGTCTCCTATACAAAGGTTGACTGAAACATTTTAATAGTTTTTATGCAACAGCATTTTCTACAAGTCACTTGACACATTTTTTTTTCAAAGTGTTTTGCAGAAAAGCCACTGGAAGGATAGTTTTGCCCACCAGCATAGGAAGGACTCGCTGGCACACAGGGCTGCTTTAGAGCAGATGGAGAAGAAAATTCTTGCTCAAATGTTTAAAACGAGACCTAAGAGACAAATTGTTCTGTAATGATGGAAATACTATGCTTTCAAGGCCTCTCATGGCCTGCCTTGTTGGAGGTTGAATGGTCTGTTGTGTCTTGCCTTGTAGAATAAATGCAAAATGCAGTTTGGTGGGTGGTTTGGTTTGGTTTGGTTTGGTTTTTCTAGTTACTCGTTAGGATGCTGCTTAATCTGAGTGCTTAAAAAAGGCAGTGGTTTTTGCATTTCCTGGCTAATCACTCAGGTTAAGACCCAGAGCTACAGGTCTTGATTGATTTTCCATTCAGAGACAAACAGGGAATTGCAAATCAAGGCAATGTTTTGCCTGAGTGAGGACTGAGAAAACAAATAGGTTTTTTTGACACTGGAAGTGTCAGTTCTGTCCTGGTCAGTGAGGGTCAAAGAGGAAGCCCACAAAATGCCTGGGGAATCCAGGGGTATCCTGTGCAGGAATTACAAGGAAAGAGTGGAAATGATCCTGTGCTCAATGCACTTCTCACATTGACTTCATACCATCTCCCTTTCTAAATTTTCCACCTTTCTCATTTTTTAACCCCAGACTTTGCTGAAGGAAACATTCACCACAAGGCCCTGCTGATCTCAGTGACTGTTTGCAGCATCCTTCTGGTGCTTATCATCATATTCTGCTACTTCAGGTAAATAAGGAATATTTTGGCAGCTTGTATATTTCCTTCCAAAATTTATCTTTTTATAGATTATGGAAATGAAAAAAAAAACCAAAAAAAAAAAAAACCAGAAGAGGACCTTAAAGAAAAGAAATGAGAAATTGTAATTTTATCATGAGAAAAAAAAGTGTATTTTATTAATGCTATTCACAGGTATACCTATGTGATGGATTTCATACAGAATCTTTCACTCAACATCCTTAAAAGCCATTCAGGTAGAAGCACAGATTATTCTTTACTGAGAAGTCCAAAGGACAAATTTTATAGGAAAATTTTTGTAAGGGAAGGATATCTAAGACTTCTAAATTTGTTTATGTGATGAAGACCTGATCATAAAAAAAGAAGACAATACAGGAATGTCAGTAAATATGTCTAGAGTGTTATCATAATCTACATACATTACATTTTAATAATTTGACACGTTTTTTACATATTCCCAGATTCCATGACCTTACCTCCTCTGGCTCCTAGAAATGCACTGCAGACAATAAAATAAAGTTACTTACTTGGTCAGTGTTTTAGACATATTTAAGTTTCTGAAAGGAACACATTTGGTTGCTTTGCAGATTTACCCCAGACTGCATGGCCTTGTGAGTGTTATACTTAGAATTTTGATGATGTAAACAGTTGCTAAAAATAAAATAAAAAATTTTGGCCAGCGAGTCCAGTGTATTCCTCAGGGAAGCAGAGAAATCTGTTAGTCTGTAAATGAAGGAAATGTGAAGGGCATGTGCATTATTCATTGCACATGTGTTCATTGTATTCAAAACTCATTTTGTTTTCGTGTAAAACGTCAGATACAAGCGCCAGGAGACGAGGCCCCACTACAGCATCGGGCTGGAGCAGGATGAGACCTACATTCCCCCCGGAGAGTCCCTGAAGGATTTGATCGAGCAGTCCCAGAGCTCAGGGAGCGGATCCGGGCTCCCTCTCCTGGTAAGGAAGCAATACTATTTTACTGTACATTTCAGAGAGGGAGAAGAGGCAAAAAAAAATAGATTTACATGCCCTCAGTTTTGTTTTAGGTTTTTTTTTTTATTTTGTTTTTTTGTTTGTTTGTTTTGTTTTGTTTTGTTTTGTTTTGTTTTGTTTTGTTTGTTTTTTTTCTTCCTCTACCAGAAATGACAAGGAGTTAGACTGGAGAACAGCTGCTTTAGAAGCAGGGGACTTTTTTCATGTGAATTAAGCCAAAAAAGGTTAGAGTTATTTTTCTGCCTCATTTAATTTCTTATTTTAGATACCATAGGGTAAGTACAGGCTAAGACAACTCATGGAAGTAGATCACGTTTGGTTCTTTTACACTCCAGTGTACAGGACAGCACCTGGCCCACTAATCTTGTTTTCTTCCTTTGCATGTGCAACACACAGTAAGATTTCAAACACTGCCCCATCACCTTTTTTTAAAGGGAACTGTAACTTGTCAGACTTGGAACCTTTTTATTTGTAGCCTTCACTTTGCATCCAGAAGTCAAGGGGGATTTTTTTTTCCTCGTAGTATGGCAATCTCAAAAGTTAATGGGATGGAGTTTGTGATTATTTCTGAATGGACTCCAGGATTGCTAAACCTGCTGAAAAGGCAGAACTATCTGTAGCAATATAGTTCTGTTCACCAGGGGGTTCTGTTTCTGGGGATCATCACTGGTAGAAAAGAATTGGTTAAAAAGCTAGGTTACTTATTTAAAATAAGTGCCTCTGGGAAATTGGAAGATTTCATTTTCATTTTTCAGAGTCGATATGTCCCTCCTGTCTTCCAAACCTATTAGTTTGTATTGATGCTACTACTGCAGATGTTGTCCAGCTTCCAAGTACCATGTACTGTCTGGCTGGTTTTTGTCCACACCTATTTTTTAAACACCCTAAAGAAGACATTAAATGGGAAGTTTTATATTTCCTTAAAAATGAAGCAACAGGCTCTGTCCTATCCCGTGCCATGCCAATGTCCTTCTAGCACCCTGTAGTGGTTTTGGTTCACTAATTTGAGATTTTCTGGGCAACGGAAAGGGCACACACATCTTGTGTGCACTTTAGGACCATTGCTAATGAGTTTCCAATCAATTGATTTAATTGTGAGGATTCTTCCTTTTTTTGCTTTGGGGTTTGGTTGTTTTGCTTTTTGGTGTTCCTTTTTTTTTTTTTTTTTTTTTGCATAATACCTGCCACATCAAGGTCTTCGTCTTCACTTGTTCCAATGAAATAAAAATGTAATAATTTAGAGCAAATACAAGGAACTTGGTTGTACTTCTCTAAGAATATGTGTTCCCAGCAGCCCATGTGGGTAGCAGGTGCCCTGGGACACCTCACAGCAGTGCATGGCTCAGTCCTTCAGCCCAGGATCCCAAAAAAGCTGGAGCAGTGCTGGTTATGACTGCTTGTTCTTTATGCTTTCCTCTGTCCCAGTGAGCAGTTTGAAGCAGGGATCTGTGGTCTCAGTGCTGTCCCCAGGTCTGCTCTTGCAGTGGATGAAAACCACCTCGAGCTGCTGCAATGGCAGAGGTGACATCCCAGCTGGGACATTGCTCAGCACCCTTCAGAGCTGTGCCACTGCTCCAGGAGGCAGAAACCCTCCAGTCTTCTGTCAGGCCCTCCTCTCAAGCTTGGAGACTCTGCAGCCACTGGACGAAGTGTTTTTCCTCCAGGAACTTTTTCTCCTCCATCTCCCCCTTGCTTACAAAAACCCTATGCAGTTGTTTTTTCACTGTTTAAGTAGTGATTTTTGGGTGGAAGAGAAGAAAATGGGTCTTGCACTTGGCAGTAGATGTTTGCTGCATTTCCCAGACAGCTACAACCACTGTGAGCTCACCAACAATGCACAGAGTGATGCCTCTGAGCCCATGCCTGAAGCAAGTGTATAGAAGGTGCCTGGCAGTAATGCTCTGGTTTTTATCGTGCAAGAGCTTATTTTAACCTTGTTTCTTGTGCAAAGACTGAAACATCCAGGGTTATAATTTCAGGAAAGTAAGATGCAAATTTAATGCGAAATGTCACCTTATGCTAACCAGAAATGTTTTTCTTCTGTGTAGAACATTTATTCTAATGGGTACAAATATTATACCCAAAACAAGTATTAGCCGAGAATTTGTCAGTATGGTGACATTCAGCAAGTGTTCTTTCTCCTGACCCATCTGTACCTCTGACAGAAGAGTTTGCTGCAAGTCAAATGCTGCAAAATGGTCTGTCTGAAGAGATTGCTGAACTACAATTTGTTCTCTACCTTCTCACACATTTTTTTTCATAATTTCCCTTCCAATGAACTTTGCTTTTCAAGGGACTCCACCTGAGCCATAGGTATGAATTCTCTGTTCAAAATATTAAATTTACAAAAGGTTGGTCTGTCTAAATTTTCATCTGCAGTAGCTGAACACATTTAGCTGAATGCCAGGAAAGTAGAAATAGTTGGTAATTGGATTGTTTCCACTCAGGGAGACGAAAGAAAAGGTCATGTAACCTTACCTGACTGCTTACAGAGCTCAAGCAGCAAAATACACAGATTTCAAAAGAAATAAGAAACGCCCAGCCCCACTCAGTGTAAATAACTCACACGAGCACATCATACAGCATGCTTATGAAATCAGTTCAGCCAACAATTTTGATTGACCTATTTGTTTTAGAAATCATAATTGGTTTATGATTCAAGAAGGAGCTGAATTCCTTAAAAAAAAAAAATAAATTGTTCATAGGAAATCATTTGACCAGTTCTAGCAAGACAAAACCAGGTTAAGGCCTTTCACATAGTATTCTGCCGCCTGAAAACCCATAACAGAAATGTGTTTTTCATTTTCTTAATGTAATTTAATAAGGAACTTTTCATCATTAAGTATTGTAATTGCATGTACTTTATGATGCCATTACATATATTTACACAAATTAAGTTATTTGATGTAACTACGTTATTGTTCAGGATGCATTTTTAAAATGGGCAAAATAGAAAGCAACAATGCTAAATGACATTACAAAATGTTTCAGCAAAATTCCAATGTAATATAACTATTGTTCAATCACTATATGAGAGTATAACAGATAAATCAATTTTAAAAATAAGGCTAATCTCTATTGTTGGCTTTCATTGATGTTAATCAAAAATAATGGCAGTGAAGCTACCATCTTGAATATCTAATAATGCAGTGCAGGGCTGGAAAAATGGAATTCTGTTTAAATGACAGAAGAAGAAAACTGGGATATTTGAAATAGCTTTGCATAAATACCACAGTATGTTTTGCTTCTTAAAATTGTTCAATATGAAAACCAGTGGTTCACTTAAAAAAAGAATGATGATAGACCTGACCTAATAGGTTTTGAGTTAGTCTTTGGATATACATTCATGCTGCAGTCATGGCACATTCATGGTAGTCCTCTCTGGCATTCCCAAAGTGGTGGTTTCCACTGGGCCTCCCAAGCACAACAAAGGAAGCAAATGATTTTAAAAAATGAAATTTCGCTCATTTCTGTCAGCCAAGATTGCAAAAATATTTTTGATTTCATGAAATGAACATGATTTCATAGGGATTCAGTTAGAGCAGTTAGATTCACTTGCTGCAATAAACTACTGGAGGTTTGTATCTGGATGGTGGCAAAACAGAGCAAGAGGCCACAAATTTGAACTTGTCCAGATTTTGCCAATTGCTTGTGCCAGATGAAAATCTCGTTACATTGGCAGCAGTATTCTTTTAAAATCTTACCAAATCCTACCAGACAAAACCTCATTAGCTGTGGGTTGAACTGACAGTGCTGTAGCACAAGAGGGTGACATTTTAAATCTCCTGTTGTATTAAGCTGAGGCAGAGTCAGCCCCGTGAATTGTGTTGCAGCATCCACTCACATTTTTATTTGTGGACTTTTAGAAAGACATGATCTGCAGACGTGCTCGAATCTGATGAGATTATAAGTCTCCATTTGTCCAAGATTTTTTGTGGCTGTAAAAGCTTGCTAAATGTAGAAGCAGTCTGTCATCCTTGTGAAGAGAATCTCTGCAGTGCTGCTGTGGACATCGATCTTGCAATACCCATGATTTTAGCCTTAGCTCACAGTACAGCTACTGACAAAGCTGGCACAGACACTGGAAAGATGTTCTTTCACATATTTTGGGGAGGAAATTTTGGGGGGGAAATTGCTTTTTATGAATACGTAAATATCATTATTTAAATCAATGTAGGCACATGTGTTTTAACTCTGTAAGTAGTGGTGGAGGTTCCTAACCAAATATATATTTTGAAATAATTAGGCATGGCAATTTCAAGGAAGGTGATAGGAAGTATCATCCTAAAAAAGAAAAAAAAAGGTAATTTTGTAATTTTGCTAGTTTTGGAGCACTAATGGGCTTTTGACTCTTGTAAGCCCTAGCCTTGTGTCTCAGCAGTGTAAGAAACATCCCTATATTAATCAAAATGTGTTACCTACCCCTTTAGAATTTGGACTGCATTGAGGTGACCAGGAGTGTTTGCTGTCCAAACTTTTCCAAAAATAACAAAAAAAATTCCACCAAGTGCTACATCCTACAGAAAAATTAAAAAAAAAATTCAAGGTGCAGGGGCAAATGTTTCCTTTACACTGTCTGATGTAGACCACAGTATATTTGAGTATGCACAAAAAGGCTTCTTTTTAGTGGTGGGAATGTCCTCAGCAGCAGTGTGTCCTGGAGAAGACAGGAAGCATCTGCAGTTGTGGAGGGCTGCTGAAATCCATGTCACAATGGCTGCATATTCCACTCTCTTCTGGGCTGGCTGTGTGGGAAGCAGACACAGGAGGAGGGAGGTGAATGCAGAGATTTCCACTGAGCAAGGTGTAAAATCTGCCTTGGCATTTCACAGGTTCAAAGGACCATTGCAAAACAGATTCAAATGGTGAAGCAGATTGGAAAAGGTCGCTATGGAGAAGTCTGGATGGGAAAGTGGCGTGGCGAAAAGGTAGCAGTGAAAGTGTTCTTTACTACAGAGGAGGCCAGCTGGTTCAGAGAAACAGAAATCTACCAGACTGTCCTGATGAGGCATGAAAATATTCTTGGTGAGTGAAGTGAAAGAGAATTATTTGATGGTGAACAGGTTTTTAAGATTAGCAATTTTGTATTTGCTGTTATCTGATGTCCTTTCCGATGTGCTTTGTTTCCCTCTGTGCTCTGCAATTAGCCACCCAGTGCTTTTCAAAGGAAAGTTGTTTAAAGAATTACTGAAACATAAATAAAAGTTAAAAAAATGATGGGGTTTAGGGGTTGTTATTCCAAACACAACATGTCTGTTTCAGCCACTGGTGTATCTGTATCTGGGCTTCTGAAAGTACATTAAAGGCTAGAGGTGAGGCACAGCTGCATGGAAGTAAGATGAAAAGAATTAAATATGCTATTAAAACAAACCTGCTGAAATGGATGACAATCCAGAGTTCTGAGCAGTCCAAAAAAACCCCATGAGAAGTATTAACTTGAAAATAACCTCTTTTTTTTCTTTTTGTAGGATTCATTGCTGCAGATATTAAAGGTACAGGATCTTGGACCCAGCTGTATCTTATCACTGACTACCACGAGAATGGCTCACTTTATGATTACCTAAAATCTACTACCTTGGACACAAAAGCCATGCTGAAACTGGCTTACTCCTCTGTCAGTGGCTTGTGCCACCTGCACACTGAGATCTTCAGTACTCAGGGCAAGCCTGCTATTGCCCACCGTGACCTAAAGAGTAAGAATATCCTGGTGAAAAAGAATGGCACCTGCTGTATAGCAGATTTGGGCTTGGCTGTTAAATTTATCAGGTGAGTGGAAGGGAGGGGAAGTTAATAAATCAAGTGCAAAAGTTTCCTTACTTGTTTGACTGAGTGTGCACGAGTGAGCAAGCACCTGTAGTGTGTGTGCACACCTGGGCTCTGCTCATCCCTGTGTGAGGTCACCTGTGTGGGGGAGAATGTCATGTCAGGATCATGTGCAGGTGTATAAATAGTTGCTTTTTGATTATTTGAGCACATTAGCTGTGTTTGTATAAAGGTTCAGTTTTCATCACTCCATCCTCCACGCCTGCCCCAGTATTGCTGGCACACAATGAAAGGACACAGCACTGACAGGTTGAAGTCACATCACTGAGCTTGTCACTGAAGCATTCAGCTTGTCTGATCCCATGAAAATTCACTCTCAACTTAGAGAGAAAAATACTAATAATTTGCACTAGTTACTAACTAGGATTTATTGAAAAGGACCCCATTTGGGCTGCCTTTTGTTTCATTTCCTACAAATCAAATTGCCCAAGTACAGATTTGATTTTTGAAATGGCTTTTAAATTTGATTTTAAAAAATGGTTGTGTGTTTAAACAACTTAGAAAGAGCAGACAAGTAGAACTTACTCACTCCTGGGATTCATAAGGAGCCACTGCTCTCTGACAGCTCTGCTCAAAAGCAGCTCGAGCTCTCAGCGGTGGTCCTGGTGGTGGAGGCGCGCGCTCCGAAGTTTCTGATTTTTCTGTACACAGAAATGTGTCCAGAATACATAGACTGAAGGTTCCCGTTTCGCAGGTCAGCTTTGAAACCGTGCCCTCCCTGGAGTATTAAAAAAATTCAGGAATCCTGTACAAATCTTGAACTGAAATTATTCAGGGTGAAAGGAGTGTTCTTTTCTCACTGCTCACTTACCTACCGGGTTCCTTGGTGAGGCATTTCCTTTATGAGCCTGACCTTTCTTCAGGAGACAAGAAGAGAATATTTTTACTTTGAGGAACAGAGGCCTAGAAAACAACAACTTGAAAATACACAATAAAAAGTTTTGGGGAAGAAATTTACCCTTTGCAGGTGTACTTTTCCTGGCAAATACAGAGCAGCACACTCTTAGCTGTGAATGAAGAAGAGCTAGGAATTACCAAGTGCTGTTACAAAAGAAGGTGAAATATGGATTTTTCACACTCCAGATGGAATTTATGTTATGTACTTGGCTTGTTTTCATACTGAATCCTTCCTCAGACAGCATTTCTCATGCAACAACAAGGAACAGAAAATAGTTGGAAAGGGTGTGCTCTGCTGAAGCTAATGATTCTTGTAAAATTCTTTGTGTTTCCATTTCACTTGAAATAATACAAGATAATGCATGTCACTGGATTTATGTCACATTCTTGCAGGTATACAGTAGTGGCAGTAGCATATGTATGATTTAATGACTGTGTAGGTGACTGGTTGTACCACAGACTCAGCTTTCCTTCATATCAGAAGGTGAAAAAAAATTGCTGTACATGAAGAAAACTATAGAAATCCAATTATTCTGTGAGCATCTGTTGTATCCACCATATGTAAAATCCATACATTTTGAAGGTGAATAAGGGAAAACAGACCTTTTTAAGCAAACCAGAATATATACCATATATTAAACTTTTAAATATATTGAAACTGATGTAGCTGAATCTGAGTTAATAAGAAAAACAAGAATCCATTCACATAATTAATGGGAATATATTTCTCTGTATGTTGTCTCTTCTGGTCAGTGTGTGAGGTGTGACACATTTGCTTAGATGTTTTTAAGCATTTATCTCTCTCTGTCTGCATATCTTGATGTGTAAAGGTTGGAAGGGATCAAACATAATGCATGCAAAAAATAATAGTTAGAATCATCTGCCTTGCAGATCTGATTTGCTACAGCTAAGAGATACTGCCCCAGCTACTCAGTATCCCCCATTAATTGCTGAGACTGAAGCATTAGGTGGTGGAGTATGTTAAGAAAACAGCGTTTAATGAAGATTTGATTGTTATCACTAACATTAGAGCTCGGGCTAATGCTAATGAAATCTCACAAATGTTACAGCATCCCTGTTGAGTCTTATCTCCATTGTGGTTCTGCATTTGAATGCTTAACATAGCCTCAGGCGGGTCAGCCTTTTAAGGAGGGTTGCCTTCACACTAAGAGGCTTTTCTTGCAAGAATTGTTCCATTAAGATTATGCATTACTTTTGACCTTGTTTGAGAGTGGATGTGATGTGGATTTACTACTTCTTCCATCTAAATTGCTTTATTTTCAACCCACTTTACTGCATGCTTGATGCCCTGTTTTTCTCCTTCTTTTTCTTGTAGTGACACAAATGAGGTAGACATCCCTCCAAATACCCGTGTAGGAACAAAACGTTATATGCCTCCTGAGGTGCTGGATGAAAGCTTGAATAGAAATCACTTTCAGTCCTACATCATGGCTGATATGTACAGTTTTGGACTCATCCTTTGGGAGATAGCAAGGAGATGTGTCTCAGGAGGTAAAGAGCTGGGAGATCACTTTTAATTGTGTCAGTGAACCTCAAGCCTTCCATTGCACCTTTTTCTCCGGGTAATTGTTTTTACAGTGATAAACAGATGTGGGTAAACCATGCAGGTAACTCTCTTAATGTCTGTTCTCCTGTTGAAACTTATTTTAAAGCATCAGTCAGTGCTATTTCCACAGCAGAGATTTAGACTGTATTTTAGTGGCTTGTTTGAAGGCAGCTGATGCCTGCACTGAGGAAGTGTGAAACTCATTTGGGGACTTTTTCTAAAGGCATCACGTTTCTGCTGGACTGGGGGTGTTCAGCTAATTTAGCAGAAAGAAAATAGTGATTTCTTAGTTTAGTTAATAGTTAAATGAAAGGAGGAAGACAAACTGTTTGGGGTTTGCTGTTCTACTCTTTGAAATAAATAATCTGCTTACAAGACAAGTAACAAAATACCGGAGGGAGGGAAGTGGCACTTATTACATCACTGTCATGCCAGTGATGTGCTTCATTTCCCTCTTTCTGCATGTAGAGCTCAGTGTCGTGCAGAAGTGATGGGTGTTGTTACCTCTCTTTTGCCACTGGGAAAGTTAAATGCACAGAAATGACTTGGTAGCAGTTCTATGCCAGTTTGGTGGTAAGAGTAGAGCGTGTCTCTCTTGGGTCTCTGCTACCTTCAGCATTTCTTATGGGTCTTTAAATCCTGAATATTGTGCTGAATGCTCACCCTAGAGAAGCTGAATGTTGCCAGTGAGCAGCAGGATCCCTGTGTTTAAAAGCTAGTGATGTGTATTGCAGTATTGTGAGACGAAATCTGTAATATTTTTGACACTGTTGCTGTGCACAAAGAATGGTACCTTGCCATGTTCTGAAAAGGCACAGAAATGCCCTTTAGTATTTTCCAGGTCCACTGATAAGAAGGAGACCTAACTCAAGCTCAGATTACTCTGGTACAGACCCTCTGCTAATAGCTCTTTCTGTGAGAACTTACTGGAGATTGCTGGACTGGACAGCAGTGGTAGAAGCTGTCTCACTTGGCAAGTTACTGCACTTTTGGATTAAGATACCTGGCCAGTCTTTACACAGCAATGGTAACATTGGAACTTGACTATGGAGTAAACTTCTAGTCTTTTTTAAGGGCACTACACCCAACTGTTACACAGTATGGCAAATCTGTTATAAAATGAAAGGGGAAAAGGGGAGTGGAAGTTTTTTTTCTGCAAATGACAGACAACTAATTGTTTCTTTCAGGAATAGTTGAGGAATACCAGCTTCCATACCACGACCTGGTGCCCAGCGACCCCTCGTACGAGGACATGCGGGAGATCGTGTGCATCAAGAGACTGCGCCCCTCGTTCCCCAACAGATGGAGCAGTGATGAGGTACCTATCATCCCTCTTAGCATGCAGTCTGTGCTTTTAATCAGAGCTAGGGAGTGAGATTGACCCAGTTCTGCATCATTTTGAGGGAGGAGGATATTTACCACTGGTGGCTGCCGTTTGGGAATAGCAGCATGTAGATGAATAGTCTGTGGGGACATGGAATATTTAGGTGGCATGAGGTTTGTGAGTGTGAGGGGAAAAAATCAACCTCCCTGGGATGCTTGAGGTCTTGTGCAACAGCCAGTGTGAGAAGATCTAACCAAATCTCACCTGCCTCATCCTCTCCCTAGCCAAATCACTCTGAGCCCTCAGACTGGGGCTGGAAGCACTGGAGGAAGGAGTAGCAATTCCCAAAAGGGCTTTTGTATGGTGGTACTTGGTGTGGTTTGGTCTGCTACCACACATGTCAAGGACTGGGGAGGCTTATTGCAATAGCTGCTCTTAATTAATTGGCTGGCATCCTTGGTAATCCCACCCCAGGCATTCCAACAATAAAAGGACAATTTGTTACCACATAGTGCTTATGTATCACCAAAAATGCATTTTATAAATCTACATTAATCTACATGAAACGTGTTTGGCCGGTTTGGACAGTGCTGGTGGTATTTATCTGTAATGGCCTTAGAAAAGACCTTTTCCCTTCAGTTTTTCAGCATTGCCAGCAGGTGCAGTCTCCTGTGCCACTGACCCCGGTGGGACTTTCTCTCCCCATTCTCTCCGCAGTGCCTGCGGCAGATGGGGAAGCTGATGATGGAGTGCTGGGCTCACAGCCCTGCTTCCCGCCTCACGGCCCTGCGCGTCAAGAAAACACTTGCCAAAATGTCAGAGTCCCAGGACATTAAACTCTGACTCTGCCAGAGGCCCCTGGAAATGGACTTTCTTGTGCAGGCAGAAGTCCTGAAGATGTATCAAAAGTCTTTGCTAAGTACCTGGAATGGAGAAGTCACGCTTAAGAGCAGCCGTGAGTTTTTGAGGAGACTATCGAACGAAAAATCACCTGAATTTTGACATGCAAGATGGAAGAGGCTTGTCTGCCCTTGTTTACATGGGGAAATACAGTTTTAGTAACTGGTTTAAGATTATGCATGTTGCTTTCCATGAAAGCCACTTATTATTTTATTATTATTATTATTGTTATTATTATTATTTTGATTGTTTAAAAAGATACTGCTTTAAATTTTATGAAAATAAAACTTTTGGGTTAGAAGTAAAAAAGATGTATATTGTTACATTAAAAAAAATTGGAGGAAACTGCTGAAAATGAGAGCAAATCAACTTTTTCATTTCCAAAAAGACTATTGCACTCCAGCCTTAAAAATAACAAAAAGGTGAGTGGATCTGTGTAGCTCAGATGAGCTGTAATGGAGCCTGCCTTAAAAGCCACCTATTTGTGGAGATATAGATAACTTTCCAAACCCTGTGTGTGCAAGTGATTCTCAGAGTACAGAGATGGAGCCCAATTTCATCCCTGCCATCCCTGTTGGTGTGGGTGGCCTGATTCCTGTGGGTGGCCTGTCCCAGGGAAGGTCATGCTTCAGTTAAGGTACTTGGGAGCTGTATGAATATGGTTTGGTGTGACTTGTTAAAGAAGATCTTCATGTTTCCAGGAAACCTGGTGGGAAGAGTACCACAGTGAAAAACAAGTGCCGTTTTTCTTGGCTTTTTTTTTCCTTCCTTTTCCCCCACTACAAAATGAAATATTTTGTGTGCAAGTGGAAATAAGGTACACATTTGAATCTGCAGGGTAATTTGAAACTTCTAGGACCCACAAACAACCACTGTTCAAGAAGAAATTCCTTGTGAGAAGGAATTATTAACTTGCTCTTTCATTTGTGTAGAAGTGTGGGGTCCACCTACAAACACAGCTCAGGAAAAAAAACCATCTGTGTTCCCCTTTTTAAGGGAAAATGAAAAACCTCAAAAGTTCCCATTTCTGGGGTGGCAGTCATTTTTTTTTGAGTGTGAGGAGACTGGTGCCTTGAGGCTGTAGTAGGAAGTGACAGGGAGGAAGGGTGGGACACATTTGGTGGGCAGTGAGAGTTGGGAGCCGTGGGCAGCAGTGGACACCTGGCTCCAGCACTCCTGGTGTAGTGAGAGACACCACAAACTGAACTGTTGGCTCGAGCTGTATCTGCATTATTATTCTGTGTGCCCTTCCAGCAGCCTCCACAGCTCTGGCAGCTGCTGCACAGTAGTGCCAGGCTCAGCTGCCAGGCTGGGGCTGTGTAGCAATGTGGTTCCCAGCAAGAGGAGCTGGCAGGGGAGAAGGGCAGTGGGAAATGTATTTTCTGTCTTCCCCTGTTCCTCCTTCCTGGGTCTGCAGTAGTTGTAGCAATGCTAATGCTACAGAAGGGGAAATGAGAGGTGAAATATACCCTGGGAATTGGTTTCTTTGGAAAGGGTCTGTTCTTCATCAGATTACCAAAGCTGAGCTGCATGGGAGTTACTGGTTTACCCTTTTTTACCCTTCATTTGTTTTTTAAAAATTTCCTGCCTGCCTATGTTGTTTTACTAGATGGTGTTCAGCTTAATTTTTAAATAAGTCCTTACAAATGCTGCTTTGATTATGCTAAGCCTATTTCAGAACTGAAATAATTGCCATGCAGGATTTAGCCTCAGCACTTCTGTAATGTTTTTTTTTTTTTTTTCCCTTTTTGGACAAAACTGATTTATTTGTGGTAGGTAGGTGTATAATTGGGGTTTAGCTTAACAGCTCCCTGAAGGTATTTCTAGCTGGAAAAATTACCATTTTATACTTTCAAGCTGACAGAGAAAAAGGCACAGTTCAAGAGAACCAACAAGACCTCCATGATGATAGGTGTTAAAAAGCTTAATCAGAAGTTTTTTGTTCATTAGAGTGCTTTTTCTGCAGTGCAGTTTCCCTGCCTGTACCCAAATTTACCAAGCAATACAAAAAGAAAATCTCTGAGAGTTAACAATTCACCAAATCCTGACCCCAGGAGGAGCAAGGATGGTTTCCCCATCCTTAAAAAATGTTTGTGAGGCTGAGAGTGGAGTTTGATCCTCTCCTTGGCCTTGAGATTTGTGGGCCAAAATGGGGACAGCCCAGCCTCTCTTCACCTTTTTGTCTTAGTGAATGGAGCCATGGGTTTCCAGTCTCATTTCTTCCCATAGAAGCCAGCACACCCTGTGGAACTGAGATTTTGCAGCTCCAAAGAAGCGCACGGGACCTGCAGGTGCCAGCTCACACAGCAGGGATGCTTTTATCCTCCCTGTTTAGGTCTGTTTCACATCTTCCCTCCTAAAATATATGATTTTTTTAAATAAATTAGCAGGGCTCTCTCTCCAGGAATGTTTTGGAGGGTGCTTTGCCAGCTGGCAGCATGAGGCATGCAGTGAATGCCCCTGGCACCTGCCATCAGCATGTTGCAAGAGAAAGGGCCAGTCCTTGGTTTCCTGAGCAAAGCTTACCTTTTTTTTGGTCCAGAAGAAAAGGGTCTAAGATACTGGTTGATAGATCACATAAAGTGTGTATGTTAAATGTTCAAGTTTATGTGTTTTTATATATATATATAAATATATATATATATATATATATTCAGTTGCGAGTCTGGAATAGCTCCAGTATGTGGATTAAGAGTAAACTATTATGGATGAAAAAGCACTAAATAAAACATAATATTTATTTATGAAAATGCATAAATGACAAATCACTGCAACGGTGCTGTATAGGAAAATAGATAAATATATATATATATATATATATATGAGGAGACACACACTGAGAAAGGAAACAGTCTGCGGTTGTGTAACTAGTGCCTGCCTATTTTCTCCCAAGAACAGATTTTGCCCTCAAATCTATCCACTGTAATCTGTTGTGAAGGGCTATTCCTAAGGCCAGAAAACAGCCTAAGGCAAGTGTGGAGGTCTTTTGTTCCAGCACTGTGACATTGGAGTCAGAATGCCTACATGGGTGACTTCATGTAACACTCAGTGTGTCATTATTAAGGTTCAGCACCTGCAGTGACTGCAGGTTAGTATGTTTATTTTGCCAGGTGTGGCCTTTTAATGTCATTTCCATATTTTGGTAGTTTCAAAGGGCACATTGATGAGGGCTTGGAAGTCACTGGTAAAGATGATTGTGGCTTTGGTGGCCAAGGGTCTAGAAATTCCCTTTTCAAATGTAAATCATTCAAGGAAGTGTAGTTTAGTTTCTTTCTGGCATAGGTGAGATGGCATGTGTAAGTGGGAGAAGAAAAAAAGAGAGATGCCATCTAGCAACTGCTATCCTTTCTCTAGCACAAAGTTATTTCTATTAAAGAAAAGGTTGTCAATGTAGAGACTAAGAAACTAATTTGTGTTCTTTTTTGAGAACCAGTGCCTTATTAAGCCTGTAAATACTGTAATTAGAAAACCTGGGGAACAAACTGTGTTATGTTGTATTTGTTCAAATTGTATACGGTTGTTTTAACATTCCCCCCCCAATAAAATTGTTTCCATCTCCCCATGACAGAGATTGCTATTTCCTTTTCATGTGCTTGAAAAGCACCATCTTTTTGTTTTATTTCCCTGGCTATATTATTTTGACTGTGCCTCATTTTATTTATTTTATTTTTATAAGATTTTTTCGTCTGAACAAACAAGTAAACAGCAATATGTTGCATATGTTTCCACTGGCATAAAAAAGCATCACTCCTTTCACAAGTCAGTGAAGAGAAAAATAGTAATTAAAATAGTGTTATCACTAATAGAGCAGTTGCTCGTGTTTTGTGGCTGATTATGTAAATCTATCGGAACTCGGCATTAGCATAATTTTTTTTAGACACCCCCCTCCCCTTCTTCTGCCATATCTTTATGAGTATTTTTGACTCCTATTTTTAAGAGCACAAGAGGAACAGGAGTCATCTCTGCACAGACAGAACCCAGAATTCCCAGCCCCGTGTATCAGGTGAAAAAGTTTCAGCCTAAAATCCCCAGCACCAGCTGAAAGTGGCATTGCTTAATGCTGAGACATTGGGCGTGTACCTCTGCATCCAGTGAGGCATTTCTGGGAATTTGTACCTAAAGCTGGAGCACTATTCTCATTCTGCAGTGCTGTGTTGCAGATCCACCTCAGTTTTTCCTAATGTTTAATTGCCTTGCTGGTTATTTCCAGAGAAATGTGTAAATAATAGCAATTTTCCCTTGAGCTGCACAGCCCCTGCAGCCCTCCTGCTTTGCCCCAGACCATCTGTGCTCAGTGGCATTGCAGTTATTCTCCAGCAGCATTTCTACAGCCCCCTTGACCTGGCCACATTGAGGTAACAAAGCTCTGTGCTTGCTGCACATTGCCCCTGGCATGCCACTGAATCCCACAGTTCTTATGTACGGAAACATTTCTTCTGAGGAGATTTTCTTTTTTTTAAAAAGAAACTAAATAAAAGACTGCACTTCCAAGCTTCCAGGAACTAAACAATTGAACAAAAGGTGTATTTTTTTTCCAGTTGCTTATAAATATAATTTATTACCTGTTTAAAAATTCTTTCTTACACTTTGTACATGTCAGGCTGACAGAATAAATGCAGGCATTTATAAACAGAGGGAAGGAGAAAAAAGGGAGGGGGGTAAGAGGCACACTCAGAACTAGTAAACCACACCTCCACTGTACAGCAATACAAATAATGCAATGGCTAGCACTTCTCCTGTAGTAAGTCAGTCTTTAGAAAAGGAATTGCATAGAAGATACAGCAATAGGGAAATCAAAACCAAAAGAGTTCTCCAGATCTGAATAGCAAAGAAAACAAATCCCACGAAACCCGGTAGAGCTGTGACATAGGAAGAGAAGGGAGAAATGTGATATACCTGGGTCACACAGATGTTTCTTTTCCTACAGGCCCTCCTTTACTTTG